TGGGAGGACTTACGATAGAGCAGAGAGAAAAAAAAATCAGAATTGAGAGAGGAAAGGTGGTGGTGCAGAATGTACAGACCAGCCGCACAAATTCGATCATCGCCAGAGATCCAACCGTTGGATTGAGCTGAAATTTTCAGAGGTTGTTCCCAACACTTAGGGCTTCAATCTGTTCAATTTTCACGTCAATCGGAGCTACGGATCTTCTGTAATCGCAGCTGGTGCGACGCTGCGTTTTTGGGTGATAATCCTGATTTTCCTTCTCTATTGTTGATGGCTCTTATGTATGTTGTTGTTGGTGGGCTGTGACATCCTTGTAGACTGAGTTTGGGTGTTTTTACCCTCAATTTGCATAATAAGAGAAGAAGAGGGCGGACTCCCTATAAGTCCCGTGGTTTTTATCCTTCACATCGAAGGGGTTTTCCACGTATAAAAATCGTGTGTCGTTTGCATCTTTATTCTTCATATTTGGATGTGGTTTATTTGATGTGTTGCTGATTTTGTGTGCTTGGTTAATCAATTGTGGTAAATTGGGTTAAGTGTTTGGTTGGTTGTCTTGAAGTTGATCCTTGTAGGTGTCGTATCCTACTTGTTGCTTCTCCCCCAACACACAATATTTACAATCTGACATGGTTCAATAAGAAACAAAATATAAAAGGGAATGAATGAACATAAGGGGGTTGAAGCCGCGAGATTCAACCACAAAAAAGACGTATGAGAAATAAAAATACGCTTCCTATTTAGATTTTAGAGGTACCAAAATTAAAATTTTCTATTTTCACAGTAATCAAAAACATATTTTAATCTTAACATTAAATTTAATCGTCTCCTTTTTAGTTATCTCCAAAAAATTGTCCTACTTCTTTACCTACCTAATTTAGTAATGAATATGTGATCCATATGTTTTCTTTTTCTTCTTAAAAATTTATAATCACTCTTTTTTTTAAACTTCGTGAACTCGAATTAATGTACTCCCTCCGTCCCTAAATAAATTTCCCATTTCGTTTTTTCTCTGTTCCAAATAAACTTCTCTTTTTTCTTAAAAAACCCTTTTTACCCCTTACTTTTTCATACCCTACCTATCACATCTTACCTTTTTACTAATAATCTACCTATCACATTTTACTTTTACACATCACATCAAAGGTATTTTTGGAAAGTCAACACAAAAATATCCCTCCCTTAAGTCCTCAAAAAGTCAAAAATGGAAGTTTATTTAGGGAGGGAGGGAGTAATAAATTCGATACATCATTTTAGAAATCTTTCTTCACTTACATTACTAGATATTTACAGTAATTGGCCACCTAATTACAAAATGTGCTCTGTATCAATTTATTTGCTTCATTGCTCAACTCTGTCTATCGCGAATTGCTCCGATCAAAGATTCTGCCAAAGGCAAAAAGACATAATTGATGGTAGCTTGTTTCTTTTCTTTTTTGTGGATATGTTTTATGTAGTCTTATTTTTTGATATTCACAAAACTACTCAACATTTATAGCTGTACAAAATACGTATTGCTTCCACCTTTGTTACTCTGTATTTCATTGTTACTGTACACAAATTCATAGTAATTCTTTGTGTATAAGTCTATTTTTATCTTCTCAAGCTACCTACCAAATTTTTGGGCACTAGACGCACGAGTGCGTCCAAAGCTAGTATATATATATATATATATATATATATATATATATATGTATACACACACACACACACACGCGCACACACACACACACATATATATATGACATTTGTGTGTACTAGTTCATACATATTTTTCCCTTGGCTTTTTGGTCGCTTGCTTCTCGAGTCTCGCATTTCAAAGCTATGATACTCCTCTGCCTTTACGCTTTGATCTTACTTTCAGGCAAAGGCAAACCTTTTCGAAGGAATAATGCTACAACCTACATGTTTAATTTATACGAAAAAGGTTTTGAACAAACTTGCTTTTAATGATTGTTTATGACCATTTGATCGTTCCAAAAGGTGGAATCGCCCACCCCAGGCGCCCCCACCCCCTTGCCCGACAGGAATGGTAGAGGAAGTAAATCATGGTGACTCAGTCAGCCAAGAACGCTAGACCCGTGCCCACCGCGCACAAGGAGCCTCCTCACCCTTTATGGGATTTTTGGATAGCTCCCGCACTGCCGCTTGCGGGAATTTGATGTTATAGGATTATCTGGGGAACAAACAATATATGCTCTCTGGCCAGCTGCTATCTCTCGTTTTTGAGGTGCATATTGGTGGATTCCTTTCTAATGGCCTGTTTATCTGGTGGATCATAGTGCTAATGTCTTCTGTTGACTCATGTAATGCAGGATTCATTCAGGAGAATGAATTGTGACTTGAGGAGAAAAATTGATAAACATATAGCTGAAAAGTCAAGCGATGTGAACATGGGTTGTAAGCACTTCGTGTGTGTTGTTTCCTCTTACCAGCTTTAATATTATCCTTTTAGAGTTTTAGGTAATTCAAAATACAAGAAGATTCACACATTTTGGAAAACTACTACTCATTCAGTTCAATTTATGTTATGTGAACCTATTCGATCGAGAACAAAGTTTCTCAAAGCTTAAGAAAGAGAGGAAGACTTTTGAAACTAGGATCTTGAACCCACCATAATATTTTCGCAGCTATAAGAATTAAGAAACTTAGTAGTCTTAAACTTTTCGTAATACTCATGTGGCTATGTAAGCTTCTTTATTAATGATAAGTTTAAGTTCAATTGTTTCTATATTTAGAAAGATGTCCATTCTTTTTGGAATGGAGTAAGAATGAAATATTCTGGCATATATTTATTTTAAGTAAATATTTTGATCTTTCTAAACTTTTTAAAAGTGAAATAATATTTGGGCCCAATGCTCTTTTAATAAACAACTACTCCCTCCGTCCCAAAAAGATTTACACGTTTCAAAAAAATTGCGTCCCTCAATCCCTTACCCATTTCTATTAAAAAACCACTTTTACCCCTTACTTTTTCAAAACCTACCTATCACATCATACCTTTTTCCTAATAATCTACACATCACATCCTACTTTTACACATCACATCAAGGGTATTTTTGGAAAGTCAACACAAAATTATCCCTCCCTTAATTTTAACTTTAGTCAAAATGGGTAACACTTTATGGGACGGAGGGAGTATATTAATAAGTGTAAAGGCCCACTTCTCTTTTAATAAACTCAGCCCAAAGAGTCAGAGAGTCGGAGGGTTTAGAGGAGCCGCTGGTTATCTCGGCAGTCGCGACAATGAATCAGCGTCGGCATGTAAGGTAAGCTCGATCTTCCTCAGTCTCTCTCTCTCTTTCGTCTTCTTCAAATCTTCTTCTCCTCCATCTTCCTCTCTCAGCTTCTTCCAGTCATCTTCTCCGGTGTTTGCACAAAAAAGGCTAGGCGAGCAGTTAGGCGTCCATATGACCTCGCCCAGACGCCTAAACGTCGCCTAGGCGACGCCTTGATAACTATGATTGGCATCTGCCAGTTCATAGACAAATGTGCTATTACTATGGCTCTGGAGAGAACCCTCTCTACAGGGCACAGGCAACTTGGATATCAGTAGACTTAGGGTGCATATGAAAGGAACAACTCAGGCATGCCTTTCCTATCCTATCACTCTCTTTAATTCTCTATTAAGCCGGTCTGCCTTTTACATATATTCGATATGAAGAAAGAAAGGGGCTTGAGATGTGAAGAAATATTTCATACATGTTGCAGGTTGTTTCTAGGTTATCATTCATTGAATTGTTGGGACAGATGACAAGGATCTCACCACAAGGTGAAGAGTGTATAAAAGCTACCGATGCTAGTCGCAGAGCAGTGCAATCTAGTCAGGCATGTAAACGTAGCGATTCAGCTTGAACACTATTTCCTTCCGATTTTGATAAGGGGTGCGTCAGTTTGCTTTATGCTCTCTGTGATTGACTAAATTTTATCTGTGGGGCATGATCTGCCCCTGTGACACCGCAGTAGGTGTTGCTTGTGGGTTGGTAAAAAACTTGGCCTTGATGACTCATGTTACTGCTGATCAGGATGACAGCTCTTTTGCTCTTCTGGTAGTCTTTATCCTTCTCTCATCTTATATTTGAGTCTATAAGTTGAAGTTGGACAGATAGTCCCTTGTGTTTTAGTTCTTTATTTTACTCTGAGCTGTATCAATCTATTATTACAAAAATAAAACTTATATGCTGATTAAGTTTTTTATTAGGCTAGTGAAAAGTCCTTTGAAACATTTACGGTTTGTGAACTTAGTGAAACTGCTCATAATTTATTTCTCTGCGAAACTACTGATTTTTACATTGTTTAGCAGCTAATGAATGGCCTTGTAACCCATATATCTTTTTGGTGCACCCATGAAATTCTTCTTAATCATTATATCTGTTTTGTGCTACCATGAGATTCCTTTTAGGTCGTTTCTAGAAAACATTGTTTGATAGCAAGGTTTCAATTTCTTTTTTGGATATATTTCATGTACATGGGAACTTTAGGCCATTTTTAATTACTCTATTAAGCAAACAGTGCTATACATTTGGAGTGGAGACTTTGGAACTGCTTCTGCAAGATCTTTTTACTAGAGATTCCTACGTTGTCATGTTAAATGGAGTTATTATAGGCAAGCACAGGCAGCCAAAGGTTTGTTCTGGATAGAAGAGAAGTAGAATATCTTTTCTTGAAGGTAGGCTTCTTGTTAAGTTTCAACATAATGTGCTCTTTTTATCAGAAATTTGCTGATGATATGAGGAAGCTACGACGCTCTGGCAGAATGAACATGTTTACTAGCATCTATGTGAATGAAAAACAGGTTATTAAATTTGACCCTTTGTGATTTAGTTATGAGTTTCCTTTAAGTTGTTTATATTCTAAAGGAAATGTTCTCAGAATAATACCAAAAGTAAAATGAGGAATACATCCCTTGTAGGGCTTGGTGTGCATTGATACAAGTGGTGGACGTTTGTTCCGTCCACTTGAAAGAGTTCTAAATGGTGTTCCTAAGGTTAAAGAGCACCATGTGAGAGAGTTAAAGGTAGTACTTATTTTGCTCTGATCTTACACGATTCGGCTTTGAAAAATTCAATACCTTATTTAGTTTGAGAATTTGTACTCTGTAGGATGGTGTCCGTGACTTTTATGATTTTATAAAAGACGGTCTTGTTGAATATGTAGATGCAAACGAAGAGAAGGATATCACACAAGCGAAGACACATGTTGAGATTGATCCATCTACAATCTTAGGTGTGTGTGCTGGTTTAATACCTTATCCTCACCACAACGACTCAAAATACAACACGTATCAGGTATGGACTTTCTGTATGTACCCATAATCCGATGTCTAATTTATTTTCCTGTAGTTTTTTCTAACTATCTCGCTTATTGTATGTATTTATAGTATGCAATTGGTAAGCAAGCTATGGGAAGCATTGCTTATAACCAGGCAAGTTAAAAGGGTAGAATTTGTATTTCATGTCTTCCATAGGGTACTCAATTCTGGGGAACGTTTTGTTTCATTGGGTCCAGTATCATGAGTAAGCTTTCGGAGTTAATAATAACACATCAGTGGAATATTCTTAGTCACACACTCCGAAATGTGCCTTTATTCGTAATCTTGCAGTGTTCTTTCATGTTTCCAAGGCCTATGGTTGTTTAATGCCCTTTGATTGGTGACTAAGTTCTCACACATAACTATTTAGTGTAATTTCTCTTACTAGGTCAATTTTGTTGGACGCCTCGCACACCTCTAGAGGGGGGGGGTGAATAGAGGTGTTGCCCAAAAGACCAGTTTTTTTGCGCGGAAACGTTCTTCATGAATATTCAATAAAAACAATGCACCACAAACAAAATAAAGTGAATGATAAGAGCAATGCACACACGATATATACTGGTTCGGCCTAAATGCCTACATCTAGTCCCCGAAGCAATCGTGCCCAGGCCTTCACTAACCTGTCAAACTTAACGGAGTTTGACAATCTGAATACAACTCGAGAACTTGATTTCACAAGCCTCTTATCTTACCACCGAAGTTTTGATTTCACAAAGCTCAGGATTTCTTCCACCTAACGTTTGATTTCACAAACCGTTGGGATTTCTACCACTTGGTGTAATCCCAACACCAAGAATACAAATCCCTTACAATAAAGTAAGAAAACAAACCGCAACCGAGTAATTCTCCCAACACGGAGTAGATTGTTGCAAATACAATGAGGTCCTTTAGAATATGGCAATATCTCTCAAAGACTCAAGTAATGAGGAAAAACTCAAGCAAGAAATGATTTAGCAATCAAAACAATTGCCTTGCTTGGATATAAGGAGGGGATTGAGTAGAATCTCTTTGGATATTCAAAGGATATGTTCTTGAAGTGTTTTCAATGTATATTCTTGGCTAAAAACACGAGATAGGGTACTTTATAGAAGTTAGGGAGTGGATAGGGATGAAAAGCATTCAAAAAACTAGCCGTTTGGTAGTTGAAACTGTCGAACTATTTGACTAAGTCAAGATTTAGTCGACTAGTTTTGGTGAAACTGCAATACTGACTTATTCAACTAGTTCTGGATTTATTCAACTAAGTCAGAATAGAAGTTCAGGGATTTATTCGAATAGTTTGCTGAAAAAAAATGTGTTTTAAAGGTAGGATTATAAGGGAATGAACCTTAGAGATGCCATACTCTTTAACACAAAATCTAAGACCTAAAACACTACCCAACTAAGGAAACAACCTCTTCGGTCTCGTTCCTTCCACCGATGCTCAAGTCCCTTCTTCACGGACAGATATGAACTTGTTGTAGCTTTGATTCTTAGCCTTGATGCACAAAATGATGATGATGTTTTGTCACCCTTTTGTCATTATCAAAACCTAAAAGACAATGGGCAAAGGACATTGCAAAGACACATATTCATGATAGCACATTGTCCAACAAATTTTTGTTGTTCGTGTCTAATTAATGTCAGTAACTTTTGCTAGAGAGACATACAAAATTAGTGTTGAATAATTTTTCTGAATTGCAAACAGATTGAAGTGATATTAAGATATATTTGCATTGCAGTTTAACCGAATGGATGCTTTGACAAACATTTTACTTTATCCCCAACGACCTTTGCTAACAACGATATCAATCAAACTGGTTGGTTGTGTTTTTTCTTTTTGTGACATAATTCATGTGTTTTATGTATTGCGTGCTTCACCTGATAGTTCACTTGCAGGTTGGGTTTGATAAGCTAGGAGCGGGGCAGAACGCTATAGTTGCTGTGATGAGCTATAGTGGCTATGACATTGGGAATGCTATAGTAATGAACGAGGCTTCTTTGGATAGAGGCCTTGGTTGTTGTGTAGTGTATAATAGGTAAAATATTAAAATTGTAATGAATTCCAAATCATGTATGTTATTGCCACCCTCTTTTAACGGTAACACATGATTTGTTTGGATCAATTATATTAGAGAATGTGGGAGTTCTTCATCAAAAGAAGTTGGGCCTCAGGAGCCACAAAGATGCATGGCGGCATATTGCCTTGGATTTAGATACGTTAGGATGTAAATGAGAAATGCACAATTTTCCAACACGTGCACCCTTCTTAACTTTGAAAATTTTAAAATTTGGAAATCTCAAGAAAGGTTACTGGCCTTTTAAAAAATTATTTATTCACATTTTGTTTTGTTCTCAATTACTTAATATGTTCTCTTTGATGAAAATACAACATTTTCTACACAGGAGGCAGTCTTCATGGACAAAAGCCAAAAGTTTTGCGCCAAAAGACTGAACCGTCAAACCCGTAGGCCTGAAGTACGTTTTGTAAATCAGTTTAAAATAAAATATATATGTTTGTATTCTACAAGATATAATCTCTTGTGTATGCTATTTGCAGGTTGGTGATAGGTTTAGTTGTAGCCTTGTAGGCATGGGAAGAAAAGTATTGTTGGTCTAATAGTAAAACAAGAAGACTTGCCGTTTACAGAATTTGGCATTTGCCCAGATCTGATTATTAATCCTCATGGATTAACTGGGTAAGAAGATCCTTTATAAATCATGATATTTTTTGTAGTCCAAAATCTGTTTTATTATATTTTGGCTGGTTTCTTTGTCTTCAACTACTTGGCTGGTTCCTTTGTCTTTAACAAATATGTTTTATTATTGTTATTAATATTATCATATTAGTTAAGTGTTGAGAATATGGTAGGTGTTATTAGTACTATTGCTATTATATTAGTTAAGTCTTGAGAATATGGTAGGCTTTGATTTAGGCATTAATAGGGGTGATTTAGTTTCCTTATATTAGCACCATTTTTTATGTATATAGTCACTTGTATTATGTAACTAGGTGAAGTGTGAAAACCTTTGATTATTTCGTCATAGTATCAGAGACTGTCTGTTCCATAGTCACCTAAATCGCGGTATGTTCCGGTACAGGTACGAAATTCGATAGAGGTGACGAATTCAGTACAAAGGGGGGTAGATTCATTTCGGTACGAAGTGGTACGGTGTACCATGTATTCAGTTCGGTGTACCAAAAATCAAAACATAAGTAAACAAAATTTCTGAATATCAATAGATAACAATAAAAAAAAGGTTAGTAGATAAAAGGACTTAAGAAATAAAATTACAAAAAAAACTTCATAAGATAGAATACATGGTGTGACTCGACACGCTAAGTTGGAACTTGAAAGCTAATAGGAGACTCAGAGTAAATCAGCGCAGAGGCTTATTTATACAAAGTGCAATGAAAACAAGCATCATTTGGAAAGCACAGTAAAAAGAGCCTTCATACAGGATATTTTCTTTCTTGGAGGAAAAAAGTGTCAAAAAACAGCTGGATTCATTCTTCTCCTCACTTAAGAATCTCATTAGAGCTAACAACATATCCACATTACTTAATCGCAAAAGGACATAAGTACATCTGCCACAATGAATTCAACGTTTTCTTATAATACCTTGTGTGCTACCATACCAGCATCTACTTTTCAACGGTGCATGCCCCATTTCAAATACAGATTGCTCAAAGCTGGTTCTTATATTTTTTTACCTGCTACCCCTATCGAAGCCCCCGGATATACAAGGAGGCATTCGAGTGATCAGGTTGCCAAGTTACGACTTCAGGACAAGTCGTGTTTCTAAGAGGGGAGTAATTATAGGTTCCAGGCTGGTTGGTTAAGTCATATTATATTTAAGTAATTAGCACTATTTAATTATTTATTGAGCCTTTTTATTTTTTATATTTATCATTTAATAATTATTTAATTCCACTTAGTGGGAAGTTAGGGGCAAGTTATTCCCACTTAGTTAGTGGGAGGTTTAGGGTATGTTATTCCCACTTTGTTACTTGGTGGTTATGAGTTAGTTTTACTTGTAGAAGTTACAGTCTCTTTGTATAAATAGACATCTAGTCATGTGTATTGATTATGGAAGTTTACACAGTATTTTGACATTGGATATTCTCCTTGGCTTTATTAGTTATATGAGTTTAAGATTCTTACTCATATTTTGATAAAGATTTTTTTCATCTTTGTTATTTATGAAGTAAGATCCTGGCTTCGTAATTTGATAGACTTTCCTTTATTTATTTCCCTGCCACTATCGAGTTCTATCACATTTTATTAAATTTAGCTTGTAAAATGTTTTCACACTAATTAAAAAGAACATATTATGCTAATCTCTGGATTTCTCCATTTCTTTAATCTCGTTTAGGTTTGAAGCTACCAGTTTACATAGCTTAATGAAATACAAATATGATTCCGTGTGTTGTTTTCAACAGCCCAACAACAGTGGGAAAGATGATAGAGCTTCTTGGGAGGAAAGCCGGTGTCTCTGCGGGTAGGTTGCTTTACGGAACTGCTTTTGGCGATACCAGTGGGCATGCAGACACTGCTGATGATATCAGGTTATATATATATTACGCATCTTGTGATCTCTTATGGAGTACTTAGCACTTACGCGTGCTTACCTATTTCAGCAAAATTCTGGCCATGCACGGTTTCAACTATCACGGGAAAGACTTTCTTTACTCAGGTTTCAACTATCATGGTCTGTGTGTGCGTCTCTCTCTCTCTCTCTCTCTCTCTATATATATATATATATATATATATATATATATATATATATATATATATATATATATATATATATATATATATAGGGATTGACTCCGGTCAGATGACACCTTACGGTGAGATGACATGCTACGATCAGATGACGCAAAGCTCACTGGCCATTGCAAAGCTCACCAAAGACAATCACAAAGCTCACCAAACTGTTAGGCAAATCTCACCATATTTTTTCAACACTTTGAATTTTTTTTGAAAAATAAAATCAAAGGAAGGGTTGCTGACTAGACTTTGACCATTGACCGTTGACCTTCACCGACCACCGCCTGTCTATATATATATAGACACACACACACACTCCCTCCGTCCACAATTAAACTTCCCACTTTTCATTTTTGTCCGTCCAGAAATAAACTTCCCATTCCTATTTGAAGAAAGTTTTTAGGAAGGAAATGTCCTTCCTACCCTTGTCCCATCTTCATCCTCTTCCTTCATTCTTCTTCAGTTTGCTTTTTCTTTCTTCATTTTTCTCTTTCTTCTTCATTTTTCTCTTTCTTTTTCTTCTTTTTCTCTTTTCTATTCCTCTTTCTTCTTCTTTCTTCTTATGGGCTCTGCTTCTTTCTTCTTCAATTTTTTCTCTTTCTTCTTCCGTCTTCTTCTTCTTTCTTCTTCATTTTTCTCTTTCTTCTTCCTTCTTTTTCTTTCTTCTCCCGTCAACCAGAAATTTCTTTCTGCCAGAAATTAGAGTACTATCTTTCTATTTGACTACTTGAGAACCTGAATTCTTACCGGAACTTTATACTCACACTTTGCCCCTTTGCGGGTACAGTCATTTTGAGGGTCCGGCTCTCAAGCAAAGCCCTTATATTTCTGCAGCCCTCATATTTTGCTGGCTGCTGTTAAATGTGATGCAGGTTCAAGATTGAACTTTGATTGTGGTCAGGTTGACAAAGAGTTGGTGTTAGTTGTATTTTGGTAGATTTTAATTTGGAATTATGCTACTTAATTCCGAGGTGTAGTTTAGCTTAGAAACCCAGGGTTCCTTCCCCGGGCTGTTTATATACTATATAACTCTTAACCCTAGTTATTTCTTCCAGCATACTCTACTAACAATGATTTATACTCCGCACTACATACGGCTACAAAGATTAGACTTTTTAAATTATGGACATGTTCTTGTTCTACCTTTCTTCGTAGTCAAGATGAACATCACCTCTACGATCATTGTGTTGAACTCAGATCTCAAGTATAGAATAGCAGACATTCTACCTGAAAATCATTTGTTTTCAAGAATTCCTGCCTTTCTAACATATTTGTACATGTACTCAAAAGATATTGAAAATGCTTTGGATACTTCCACAAATGTATATACATACCCTAATATTCACATTAGTAGAGGGCTTAAACAGTTACATTAGTACATTTAGACTTTATTGAGGATTTAAAAGTGCAATATTCAACATAGTACAAAGTTGTACCTTGGTGGTATATTCTGTTGCATTCTTCATTTTGTAAGTGATCACATTATATAAATAATTTGTGGTTGAGATATTTAAATGCTTCTACTCTTTCTGGCATTACTGGTGAACTGCTGCAGACATTTATCTTTATGGGGCCAATATATTACCAAAAGTTAAAACATATGGTAAGATCACTCTCTTAGGATTGTTGCATTTTGAGATTTGTTTTGGCACCTATATGTATGATAATCAATAGTTGACCCATCAGAAATAGAGTATCGGCTATTTTTCTGTCTCTAACTTTTAAAAGATTTACTTCTGAACTCCTTTTTTATTTATTTAGAATTTATTGTTTCGGGACTGAAAATTTTTGGAATGCTTGATAATTTGAAATTTGGTTACATCTGGCACTTCTATGACTGAACTCCTTTGGGCGCGAAATTGGTCTAGTCGAACGGGAAATATCCCATGCCCGATACCCATGTATCTTTGTTTTTGCGTACTTACTACATATTTGAAACTAGTAAGTTTAGCATTTATTTTTCATTTTGATGCTTAGGAAATAGAAAAAATGAAAGTCCGTGGCAAATCGTATCGATGCCTTTTTCACAAGACAATCTATTAATAGTTCTCGTATGGGTGAAATCGAACGTGATTGTCTGATATCATATGGTGCTAGCATGTTAATAAATGAGCGCTTCATGATATCAAGTGATACTTTTGAGGTGCTGGTAAGATGTAGATTCGTTTTGATTGTAAATCTGTCATCATTATATGTTTTGAGTTAAAAATTCGGTTACCTGGGGCATCATGGATGACTTTCAGATGTTATTTCTTTTACATGTGCGAGGTATGTGTGTGTGAGAGAGAGAGAGCCTCTCTCTCCTTTTCTCATTTAAACTACCGTGATCATCACAGAAATGCTCTCTCTCCCTCTCTCACACACACACACACATACACACACCTTGCACATGTAAAAGAAATAACATATGACAATCATAAATGATGCCCCGGCTAACTGAATTTTCAACTCAAAACATATAATGATGACAAATTTACAATCAAAAGGAATCTACATCTTACCTGCACCTCAAAAGTATCACTGGTTATTATAAAGCGCTCATTTATTAACATGCTTGCACTATATGATATCAGACAATCACGTTCCATTTCACCCACACGGGAACCATTAATAGGTTGTCTTGTGAAAAAGCATTGATATGATTTGCCACGAACTTTCATTTTATCTATTACCCAAGCATCAAAATGAAAAAGAAATGCTTAACTTACTAGTTTCAAATATGTAGTAAGTACGCAAAAACAGAGATACATGGGTATCGGGCATGGGATATTTCCTGTTCGACTAGATCAATTTCGCGCCTAAATGAGTTCAGTCCAAAAAGTGTAAGAAGTGCCAGATGTAACCAAATTTCAAATTATCAAGCATTCCCAAAATTTTTAGTCCCGAAACAATAAATTATAAATAAATAAAAAAAGGAGTTCAGAAGTAAATCGTTTAAAAGTTGGAGAAAGAAAAATAGCCGATACTCTATTTCTGATGGGTCAACTATTGATTATCATACATATATGTGCAAAAACAAATCTCAAAATGCAACAATCCTAAGAGAGTGATCTTACCATATGTTTTAACTTTTGGTAATATATTGGCCCCATAAAGATAAATGCCTGCAGTGGCAGTAATACCTGAAAGAATAGAAGCATTTAAAGATTCCAACCACAAATTATTTATATAGTGTGATCACTTACAAAATGAAGAATGCAACAGAATATACCAGCAAGGTACAACTTTGTACTATGTTGAATATTGCACTTTTAAATCCTCAATAAAGTCTAATGTACGAATTGAAAGACCAAAGGCAGGGGTTGTTAGTTAGTGAATGTAACTGTTTAAGCCCTCTACTAATGTGAATAAGGCACTAGGTCATGTATATACATTTGTGGAAATATCCAAAGAATTTTCAATATCTTTTGGGTACATGACAAGTATGTTAGAAAGGCAAGAATTCTTGAAATCAAATGATTTTCAGGTAGTAGGATTTCTGCTATTTTATACTTGAGATCTGAGTTCAACACAATGATCGTAGAGGTGATGTTCATCTTGACTAGGAAGAAAGGTAGAACAAGAACAACAACAACAACAACCCAGTTGGATCCCACAATAGTAGGGTCTGGGGAGGGTGTGTGTACGCAGACCTTGCCCCTACTCGGAAGTAGGGAAGGTAGAACAAGAACATGTTCATAATTTAAAATGTCTAGTCGTTGGAGCTGTATGTAGTGCGGAGTATCAATCATTGTTAGTGGAGTATGCTGGAAGGAAATAACTAGGGTTAAGAGCTATATAGTATATAAACAGCCCGGGGAAGGAACCCTGGGTTTCTAGGCTAAACTACTCCTCAGAAGTCAGAATTAAATAGCATAATTCCAGATTAAGATCTACCAAAATACAACTAACGCCAACTCTTTGTCAACATGACCACAATCAAAGTTCAATCCTGAACCTGCATCACATTTAACAGCAGCCAGCAAAAAATGAGGGCTGCAGAAATATAAGGGCTTTGCTTGAGAGCCAGACCCTCAAAATGAGGGTACCCGCAAAGGGGCAAAGTGTGAGTATAAAGTGCCTGTAAGAAATCAGGTTCTCAAGTAGTCAAATCAAAAATAGTACTCTAATTTCTGGCATTTTTTTTATTTATTTTTTCTGATTTTTTACTGCTAACAACATGCTTCAACATTAAATTTTGTGATTTGGCTATTATTGATGTATCAGTCAAAATGTTAATTATGGATTATGTAATTTTGATTTTATTTAAGAATTTAAAATCTTGACTATTACTTATATGTATGGTACATGATAGCATGCACCATGGAAGACACGCTGGGGGTTAGGGATTTTGAGATCCACAGTTATCACTAGGGATGTAAACAAATCAAATACTTTAAACTAGATGTGTGATTCGTATTCGAATATAATGATTGGAATGTGCATTATTCAAATAAAAATTTAAATATTAATATTCACTCGAATTTTAAACAAATACACAAACAAATAGGAGCATATCCAATTCGGATGATATTCGAATATTTGAATATATATAGATATATATACGCACACACACACATACACCCTCCGTCAACAATTAAACTTCCCGGATTGATTCGGTGCGCAAATTTATTTGGAATAAAAATTGGGTTGACTTACCTATTATACCCCTCAACCTTTCAACCCCTGCAGATGAAGACGCTTCCGCACCGCCGCCGCCAATGCTTCAACACCGCCACCGACGATGCTCTTGCAGCCCCCCGCAGTCGCATGCCCTCAGCATCCTCTCACCGTCGCAGACCTGCATCTCCCCTCCATCGCAACCCCTGCATCCCCCCTTCACTGCAACCCCCTGCATCCCCCCTAAATTTGCAATCCCCTTCATTGCAAAGATCTATTTTCTAGATTTGGTCAGATCTCGTAGTGGGATGACAATTCAACTCCGGCAAAGATGCAACCCAATATCGTCATAGACGGGAGAAGAAGATGCAATCCGTCAGATCTGGTTGACGGGAGAAGAAAGAAAAAGAAGGAAGAAAAAACAGAAAAAAATTAAGAAGAAAGAAGAAGAATACGGAAGAAGAAAGAGAAAAAAATGAAGAAGAAAGAAGCAGAACCCAAAAGAATAAAGAGGAATAGAAAAGAGAAAAATGAAGAAGAAAGAGAAAAATGAAGAAAGAAAAAGCAAACGGAAGAAGGAAGAGGAAAAAGATGGGACAAGGGTAGGAAGGACATTTCCTTCCTAAAAACTCTCCTGAAAAAGGAAAGTGAGAAGTTTAATTGTGGACGGAGGGAGTGTGTGTGTATGTGTAAATATATGTGTGTGTGTGTGTGTGTGTGTATATGTGTGTGTGTGTGTAGATATATATATATATATATATATATATATATATATATGAAAAAAAATAACAATATAGAGATGGAGAGGTTAGATAGAAGGGAGAGCTTTCCGGCCACCTTTCCGGCAGGATACTGTCAGGCAGAGCAGAATAAGTCCCCCAGATTTGTTAAACACTTCTCTGACCTCTTCAAACACCCAAATGTTCAAGCTATTGGAAAATTTGAAGGATTTTACAATTCTTGCCCATCTGTGAGTTTCAGTCAAGAGGAAGAGAGGCACCTGGAAAGCAAAATGCACCACTCAGCAGTAGGCAGGTTCAAAAAGGAAGTACACCTCGCACATCTTAAGGAGCTGCTCATTAAAATGAGGTTCAAGTCTTTCAGAATAAGGAAAATCAACAAGTCTGATGTCCTTTTCACTTTCAAAGAAGAGGAGGACTACCCGCGTTTCCTATTTAAGAAAACATGGTTTGTGTATGGCACCCCTTTCTATGTTTTTAAATGGAACACAGACTACAAATCTAATGAGGACTGTCCCATTTTTCCTGTCTGGGTCTCTTTTGATAAGCTCCCCCTTCACCTCATAGATTTTCAGTCTCTCTTTACCATTGGCTCCTTGATTGGGAAACCTGTCAATTTGGATGATTTCACTGTCAATAGGGATAGGAGGGAAAGTGCCAGGGTGTGCATTGAGATTGATCTGTCCATTCCCCCTCCACCCAAAATTCACATAAGAAGTGGTTTTCAGGACCTATTCACTAATTGTTTTTAAGAAGAACAACCTTTATTCTGCACTCTTTGCAAGAAGCTTGGTCACAAGATAGATAGTCATGGCTCCCTCCATCAACCCACCGGAAAAGATCCCACCGGCAAGTGTAAGAAGGGCATTTCTCATGAGTATCAGAATGGATGGGAGCAAATCAAAAGCAAAAAAACAAAAGGAAACTGAGCACCCACTCAATCCGAGAATAAGAAGACAGTCAGAATAGGACCCACCACTTTTGAATGGAAAAAGAAAGATGTTGTGAACAAAAATACCAATAACTTCTTGTTGCTGGACCTACTGGACAATTATGATGGAGACCATCTGTCCTATGAGGAAGGTGATGTATTGGGTGTAATGGGCAAATCTATATCTATAAATTCAGATGGCCCACAGCAAGAGAACAGTCCTCTTTTTCCATCCCTGTCAAAAGCCAAAGCTTTTGCTTCTAAAAAAAATGCCCGAGTCCTCTTATCAAAGGAAGAAAGGATAAGGAGAGAGATTATCCAAGAAAAGGTTCCTTTGATGACTCTCTTCACAACCACTCACCTGAAAAGGGCCTGGCCATGCTTATTGAGGAAATCCATGAAATGCCAATGCAAGAGATGGGAACTGATGAAAAAGAGTATGCTTATCACTCTGATGGTGGAAGCAGCAGGGATTTAATTGATCAATCTGCCTTAACTCCCAGGGTCTTCCAAATTCCTGCATCCAACTCGGTTTCAATAGAAGTCCCTAAAAAAAACACACTCAAGAGGTTGGGTCCTACCACCAGTATGATAACAAGAAGTCACAAAGGACATAAAGAATTCATATTCTACAGTCTTAAATGATATTGTTATTTTGGAATGTGTGTGGAGTTAGGTCCTCTCTCAAAAGGATCAAGGGGTTAAAAAAATATCATAACTTTTCTTTCCTTGCAGTCATTGAACCCATAGTTTCTGCTGACCAGATTCATTTCTACAGCAAACAGATGGGTTTCTCTAATTTCTTAAGCTCCAATACTAATAAAATATGGGTTTTTTGGAATGAAGACACCCTAAATCTCAACAAGAGCACTCAAGGGGATCAATTTCTCAATTGTGACTTCACAATTACTGACACTAAGGTATCATGTGGGTGTTTGGCATTTGGGTGTTAGACTTCTCTTGTTAAGCTTTCAAGGTATCATGTGGGTGTTTGGCATTTGGTTCTATTCTATTATTTGGACAGTAAGGAGGGTTGATTAAATGGAATTTTTATACTCTATATGGCAGCGGCATAGCGGGGCTACACCCAGTTCTGCCTACTCAGTATTCGAATATATTGAGGCTTAATGTGAAGGTTTAATTACAAAATTCCATGGTTTTTCAGAACTGAAAGAAGAAGCCAATAAAAGATCTCTTAAGGATTGACTGGTCCTAATACTCATTTGGGATATGGAGGTAGGGGTGACCCATAGCACGGTTGCATTGGGACTGTCTCTTCGTGATTTTAGTTCTAGTTTTGGTTTCTTGTTATTACATTTTGTTATCTGTCTTGGGCTAGAATTGTTGGCTTGCGTTTATATTGTAGTTTGTCACTGCATTTTGGCTTTCCTGAGGGGTATAGGCATAGACCCCCCCTCGTGTACTCTTTTCATGTTTTGGGTAATAAAGTATCTCCTTTTATTTTATATACATACATATATACATACATATATATATATATGTATGTATGTATGTATGTATGTATGTATGTATGTATGTATGTATGTATGTATGTATGTATGTATGTATGTATGTATGTATGTATGTATGTATGTATGTATGTATATGTATATGTATATGTATATATATATATATATATATACACATACATACATACATACATACATACATACATACATATATATATATATATATATATATACATACATACACACACACACACAGATATATATATATATATATATATATATATATATATGTATGTATAGGGATTGACTTTAGTGAGATGACACCTTATGGTAAGATGACATGCTTCAATGAGATGACACAACACACAACACTGCCAATGGAAAGCTCACCAACTGCCAATGCAAAGCTCAACAATTGCCAATGCAAAGCTTGCCAACTGTTAATGCAAAGCTCACCACTTTTTTTTAAAATAAAAAGTTAAAAAAATTGCACTACCATTCAACTTCCAGTCAACCACCGCTCAACCACCGGTCCACAGTGGCAGTGGGGGTCATCAGTGGTGGCCAGGTCATGGACGGTCAAAGTGTAAAGCTCACCAACTGTCAATGCAAAGCTCACCAACTGACAATGAAAAGTTCTCCAAGGAACAATGCAAAGCTCACAACGTTTTTTTTATAAAAAAAGCTAATAAAATTGCACCACCAGTCAACTACCGGTCCACGGCGGTAGTTTGCAGCGGTTGAAAGTCAGCACCACCGCCCTTTGTTTTTTTGCAAAGTCATTTTAAACTTTAAAGTGTGTTGAGCTTTGTGTAGACCTGTGCAAATAAGGATCTGGGCCGGATCTGGGCCGGGCTTGATACAAATTATTAGCCCATTTGCATGGGTGGGCTTGGCCCGGCCCGGACTTGATGGGCTAAACTCTTTACCCATACCCGCCCACTTTAGCAAGCCTAACTGCCCCGCCCGACCCGGATAAAACATCAAGTAAATCTTTTTTACACAAAAAAATCAAAAAGAAAATATTGAACTCCTTTTCAAATGTTTAAATAAAATTACCACTCGCCTCATTTACATAGAAAACATAATAAAAATATTGTTACATAATTAATAAACCCATCATACAGATTCATTAAAACACTATTGATTTTTGTGTAAGAGGGGTGAGTGATATGAACTATTATACATGAATTAAAGAAAATTTTAAAATTTATAATGTCTAAATAATTAATAATAAATTAAATGTATTTAATGAATATGGGAAGGCCTATTGGCCTGGATGGGCTAAAAGTAATTTCCAGATCCGCCCAAATACAATTCGGGCTTGGGCCGGCCCATCCATGTAGGTATTAAAGATTGTCCATATCCGGCTATTTTAAAGGGCGGGCCGGGCGGGCCGGACGGGCCGACCCTTGTTTGCACAAGTCTAGCTTTGTGCACATATTCGGTGAGCTTTGCAATGAGAGTCAGTGAGCTTTGTTGCTGGGCTTTGTAAGCATTTAACCATCAAATTTTGAAAAAAAGAAACGTAAAGTGTTGGAAAATCATGGTAAGCTTTGGAGTGGACAGGGGTGAGTTTTGCAGTGATCAGTGGTGAGCTGCAGTGTTATCTGACTGAAACATCTCATCTTACCACAAGGTGTCATATATATATATGAGTAAATTCCATAAAACGTCTCCAGTTATATGTCGTTTTACATATTTAGTCCCTACATATCAAATATTACTAATTTGGTCCCCAATTATTATATTTATTTCTACGAATGGTTCTTTGTTAACATTTTCATTAAAACGTGGATAAAATTATAAATTCACACTCCTTTCTCTCCTCAATTAAGCTTTCTCCTCCCTTGTACTCCTTTCTCAAACCCGTCGCTGAGTTTCTAGCTTTGAACCCTAAACCAAAATCATCACTCTTCTCTCAATTGTTTGTCTAACTGGAGGAATGATCATTTAAATTTTGGGTTTAAGAGCTTCAAACTCAGCGACGAGTTTGGGAAAGAGTATGAGAAGATGAAGAAAGCTTAATTGAGGAGAGAGATAAGTATGAATAAACAATTTTATCCACGTTCTTAACGGAAATGTTAACAAAGGATCATTCGTGGAAATAAATATAATAATTGGAGACTAAATTAGTAATATTTGATATGTAGGGACTAAATATGTAAAACAACCTATAACTGGGGACCTTTTATATAATTTACTCTATATATATATATAGATATATATATATATATATATATATATATATATATATATATATATATATATAAATATATAAATAAATAAATAAATATATATATATATATATATATATATATATATATATATATATATATATATATATATATGGGATTGACTCCAATGAGATGACACCTTACGGTGAGATGACATGCTTCAGTCAGATGACACAAAGCTCACCACTAGTCACTGCAAAACTCACCAAAGACAACTATAAAGCTCACCAAAGTGTAAGGCAAAGTTCACCATATTTTTTTCAACACTTTGAATTTTTTTCCAAAAAAAAAAATCAAAGGAAAGTGTGCTGACTGGACTTTGACTGTTGATTGCCAGCATTGACCGCCGCCAGTCGCCGTCGCCGGCCGCCGCCGCCGGACTCCGGCCGCCACTGCTGCTCTGCCGCCCTTGACCGGTGGTTGACTGGTGTTGTTATTTTATTTTTAATTAATTTTTAATTTTTAAAATTTAAAAAAAAGGTGAGTTTTGGGGTTCAAAGTGGTGAGCTTTGCTTTATTTCCAGGTGAGCTTTGCATTGTCCATTGGTGAGCTTTGTAGTGTAATATGGTGAGCTTTGCTTTATTAGCTTTTTTTCTTAAAAAAAAAAGTGGTGAGCTTTGCGTTGTTTCTTGGTGAGCTTTCCATTGACATTTGGTGAGCTTTGCATTGATAGTTGGTTAGCTTTACACTTTGACCGCCCATGACCAATGGCCACCACCGATGACCCCCACTACTGCCGTGGACCTGTGGTTGAGCGGTGGTTGAGTGGTGGTTGAGTGGTGGTGTTATTTTTTTAACTTTTTTTATTTAAAAAAAGTGATGAGCTTTGCATTGACAGTTGGTGAGCTTTGCATTGGTAGTTGGTGAGCTTTGTATTGACAGTTGGTGAGCTTTCCATTGGCAGTGTTGTGTTGTGTCATCTCATTGAAGCATGTCATCTTACCATAAAGTGTCATCTCACTGGTGTCAATCCCTATATATATATATATATATATATATATATATATATATATATATATATATATATATATATATATATATGGGCTGATTCAAGTGAGAATGCACTTTGGTGAAAGAAATAAGAATAAAATCTGGCCTTTGGATCTTATGCATCGTGCGGCTCAAATTGCATTCTGCACTCAAATTTTGAGATAGTGCATTTTCAAAGGATTATGGTGCATTTCGACATGATGCATTTTCAAACCATCTTGGTGCACCTAATTTTGATGCAATCCTACCCCTTAGATCTCCCAATCTAATGCACCAGATTCATTCTTATTTCTTTCATTAGATTGCATTCTCACCTGAACCAATATATATATATATATATATAAATATATATATATATATATATATATATATATATGGTGGATGGCCATTTATTCCTAATCAATGTTAAGGAGCCCGTTGAGTTTCAAGAAACAACAGAAACCTTGGCAGATGCTAAGGTTGATACATCTGCGGCAGGGTCTACGAATGATAAGCTCCAAGAGCGCACAACAAATAACCTGGACTCAATTGAGGACAGCTTGGTGTTGGGTTTGTCCTCCGAACCCGAACTGAACATCCGGGCCAGGTACAAAACATTGGGATCCAAAAAAGAGGATATATATAAGCGGGAACATGAACATTAAGGCGCTCTGTGGTGTTCACTTTATCTTTAAGGAGGACAACGTCGGCACCTAATCCCTTTGGCTTGGTGCAATTTAAGAACACACAGCAAACACAAGGCTTTCTCTCGTTTTTCGCAGATATTTGTGTGTGTTGTGTGTGTTTAATCCTAACAAGTGGTATCAGAGCCTGGTGCGTTCAACACGAGCACAAATTGCGAGAAAATTTGTCACCTAGGGTTTTTGGGATCTGGGTGTGCTACGGATCTGAGAAGGAGGCGCTGCCGCCGTCAGCCGCTGATCTGTCCAGGTGCCGCCGCAGAGGAGTCGTCACTCAACCGGCCGTCGCTGAAGGAGCAGTGCGCCTGTCGAGCGAGACCGCCGCCGCCGTCGAGAGGAGTCGCTGGGTCGGGATCTGTCGCTGTCGTGGAGGAATTGCCGCCGCGTCACCATCTCGATCGCCGCCTCCGATAGCCGCGCGCAGAAGGAGCTACTGTCGCTACCGTCTTCAGTTGCAGAGCCGCCGAGAGTGACGCCAAACAGCCGCGGCAGGAGCGAGCACCAGGGGTCGCCAACGCCGTCCGAGCCGCCGCCGCCACAGTTGTCTGACCCGCGCACAGCATCGTCATTGCCGAAGGAGAGTGAAGCCGCTCTGCCCAGGGAATTGCCGATTGTGCAGATCTCATCGCCGCCAAAAAAAAGGGAAAGGGTTTTCCTTGGCTGGACCGAGAAAAAAAAGTAGGCAGTGGGCCAGTTTGATTTTAATTATTCAGCCACTTTTTTGGTCTTGTTTTGGTTTGGGCCTAGCTTGTGGTTTTAATTTGGACTGATTTATTTGGTGTGGTGGGCCTGATCTTCTGACGAAAAAAATACCAAGACCTGAAATATTTGTACCGGGTATCTCGTCTAGTCGTTTGATATGGCAGAAGATGGGAAGTTCCGAATTGAGAAGTTCGATGGTACAGATTTCAGTTGGTAGAAGATGCAAATTGAAGATTTACTAGTTCAGAAAGATTTGGACGTGGTATTGGGTGACAAGCCAGAAAAAATGTCGGATGCAGATTGGGCAGGTTTGGATCAGAAAGCTATGTCTGTGATCCGTCTCTCGTTGACCAAGAATGTTGCGTTCAACATTCTGAAGGAGAAGACAGCAAAGGAAATTATGGAAGTGCTGTGTAACATGTACGAGAAGCCATCTGCAGCGAACAAAGTTTTTCTGATAAGAGAGCTGGTGAACACAAAAATGAAAGAAGGCACTTCAGTTACCGAGCATATCAACAAGTTGAATTCGATCTTAGCCAGACTATTGTCAGTGGGCATTAAGTTCGATGATGAAGTTACAGCGGTTACCGGTTCAGTGGGACCTGATGGATTCACCTTTGATCAGATTCGAGATCTCGTTCTTGGCGAGGATGTCAGAAGAAAGAGTTCAGGGGAGTCATCTGGTGAATTGCTTCATGTTGGTAGAGGCAGAAGGAATAGCAGAGGTAGTGGGAGCACGAACAGACGAAGGAGTCAGTCGAAGACTCGGGATAGCTCAGGTGTAACGTGCTGGAAGTGCAATGAGGTGGGGCATTTTAGGAATCAATGCCCGAATGATAAGAAAGTGAACATTGCTGAAGGCTCCGCGAGTGATGAAGAGGTCCTTCTTACTTGTTGTGCGGAGAGCAGTGTAGATTCCTGGGTCATTGATTCTGGTGCTTCATATCATGCTACCCACAGCGGTGAAGAATTGCAGAATCTGGTTATTGGTGACTTTGGAAAGGTACGACTTGCAGACGATAGAGCTCTTGAGGTGACGGGCATGGGTGACATAGTGCTGAAGACCCCAGTCGGTTTCTGGACTTTGAAGGATGTCAGAGTTGTTCCAGCCTTGAAGAAAAGTTTGATTTCTGTCAGGCAGTTGGACGAACAGGGACACGAGGTGAAGTTCAGAGATGGGCAGTGGAAGGTTGTGAAGGGAAATCTTGTCATGGCCCGCGGAAGGAAGAGTGGTTCGTTGTATATGGTCGAGTTACCATCTGAGGGACTGACCGCCCCAGTTCAGAAGAGAAACAAAGTCCGGTTCACAGAGTCTCGTGGGCTGAATAAGGTTGTCTATGCAAGAGAGAAACCTAGAGCCACAGGTCAGACTCAGGATGAACGAGCGAGGAAAGGTTCAAGGAGGCAGTCAGAGGTATTTGTGGCAGTGGGAGCTCAAGAGGCGCTTTAACCAAGTTTCCTAGAAGACAGTGGGTCATGAGAACCAGTACTCCAGCTGTTGGAACATCTCCAGAAAATTTCTTGCTGAGTACGGAGATTGTTTGTTCTCAAGATGTTCCAGGATCCGGCAGTGTGCGTCTGCAGTGGGAGCCGGTAGGGACCGAGGACGAGTGAGGGGCAGATTTTGCCGTAACTCATGTGTTGGAGCTTATGAGAGCTCCAACGGGCCTTTCAGTTGACTGATGATAGGGCTGCTGCAACAGAAGAGCTGAGGAAGATTACTCGATGTACAGGCAATCGTGGTGGATGGCAGTTGATGACTATCAAGCCTCCAAGTGGGAGAATGTTGGGTTTGTCCTCCGAACCCGAACTGAACATCCGGGCCAGGTACAAAACATTGGGATCCAAAAAAGAGGATATATATAAGCGGGAACATGAACATTAAGGCGCTCTGTGGTGTTCACTTTATCTTTAAGGAGGACAACGTCGGCACCTAATCCCTTTGGCTTGGTGCAATTTAAGAACACACAGCAAACACAAGGCTTTCTCTCGTTTCTTGCAGATATGTGTGTGTGTTGTGTGTGTTTAATTCCCAACACTTGGACCAAGAAAAGACAGAGAACCAATCTGAACCAGAATTTGAAAGCGAAGAATATCAATATGAAGAGGGTTTCACCCTTGTCAAACGCAAGAAGGGAAACTATCCGGAACTAGAATCCAAACACGAAGCGGTCATCGCCCCCAACGTGGTCGAGGACGAGGCAGGCGAGGCCGCGGCCGGAACTAAACCATTTGTTTTTAGGGACAACGTCCCTGAAAACAAGGTCCCCTACCCCTTTTTTTTTGGGGTGTCTCCCATTTACTGCTTTCTTTCCTTTTTTGTTTTTTTCCACTTTCTACTACCACTTTTGGGTAGTTCTTTGCTCCTGTAACTTTATTATTTGCATTAATAAAAATCCTTTTCATAAATAAATAAATATATATATAAATATATAAATATAAATATAAATATAAATATAAATATATATATATATAAATATATAAAAATAAATAAAAATATATATAAATATAAATATATAAATATATAAATATATAAATATATAAATATATATATATATACATACATACATACATACATATATATATATATATATATATATATATATATATATATATATATATACACACACATATATATACACATATGAATCCCATACTCCTTACTGCTCCTTATGTTCAAGATTTGGTCACGGAACTGTTGAATGCCGGAGAAAATTGCAGGAGAACCTCACTGAACCAGCTCCGACCAGTGAGGTGGGGCAGGGAGGAGCGGGTATGCATGGACAAAGGAAAGATGAGGGATGGATATGGGTAAAGGCTAGAAGACAACACAAAAGTGACATTCACCCAGTGGGCCAGGTCAATCATCCAGCTCCTTCTTTTCCTTACAAACCCATTGCCCAACGTAAAAATTCCTCCCATCCTTCAAAACATAGGGATACATCCAACAAAGGAAAAAATGCAACCCATCAACCCACTGAAATTATGGCGGGGCCACATTCTCACCATAATGTTGATGATTGGGAATCATTTATGCCATCCATAGAAATCATCCAGGAAGAACAGCCACTCCTTAATCTGGTTCGTGGTGACCCATCTGCGTTGGACCCCTCTCCTTCCAAGGTAGTGGAAGAATGCCCCTTCCCAGATCTCTCTTATCTTATGGTGGAAAAGCCAATGCGCTGCATGGACATCATCCCCTTCATCTCACAGCTGGACTCAACTCCTGACAAAAAGGAACCTTTCCAGCCAACTCCCGGTAGCAAAGATGACTATTGGACTCTCACACATCTGGACTGCAATTGGGAAAATCATGAGCAAGAGGATCAAGAAGTGGAAAATATTCCTATCTTGTGTCACTCTGAGGGTGAAGAGGATGATGTGCCTTTCATCACTGGAAAACTGGTTCCTTTGGAAGTGGACCTCAACAACTGCTCTCAAGTCTCCTTTCCAATCCCTAAACCCACAAAAGCGAAGAAACAAATCTCCCCCCCCCCAGTAGTAGGGTTACAAGAAGTAAAACTGCTAAAAATGTATCTCCCAACCCTTTTATTCCATGAAGCTTCTTTTTTGGAACATCTGTGGGGTTGCTTCCTCCCTCAGCAGACTACTTTTCCTCAAGAGGAAGCACAACCTGGACTTCTTATGCATCATTGAACCTATTGTACATGCCTCCCAGATTCGATCTTATATTCTTAGCCTGGGTTTCTCTCATCACCTTTCATCTCAAAACAACAAACTTTGGATCTTTTGGAATGCTCAAACCCTATCCCTTCTGTCCTATAAAGAGGAATCACAAGTTACTCATTGTGAATTCTCTTTGGACTATAGCTCTACCTCTTTTGTTATTTCCTCAGTATATGGTTCACATACTGAGGCAGGCAGGAAAACCCTCTGGTCCAATCTCCAAAATTATCAGCCCTTGCAGAATAATTGGATAATAGGAGGTGATTTCAATGCCATAACATCACTCCTGGAATCCAAAGGAAAATGTATTCCTAGACAACAAGGTATGGAGGATTTCCTCAACTGCATCAACAACTACAGGCTTATCTGTCCAGAACCAAAAGGTTCTATCTTCACTTGGTCAGGAGTACGCAGTCAAGGTAGAACCTGGCGCAGACTTGATAGAATTTTACTCAACCTAAACACTTTGGCTTTCTTTGAGGAAGTGGAACTTTTTCACCTTCCAAGGGCAAACTCAGATCACAAACCACTGCTCCTCATATGCAACGGGCAGTGTCACTCAGGCCCAAAGCCTTTCAAGTTCTTAAATGTCTGGACCCATCATGATTCCTTCATGGATACTGTCAAAAGTTCTTGGCACAACACACCCACTTCTGGAGGCATGAGGGGGCTAATCTTTAAACTCAAAAATTTAAAGATTGCTCTGAAGGAATGGAATTCTTCCCACTTTGGAAATATCTTCCTTAAACTGGAAGAAGCTGAGAAAAAAGCAGCCAAAGCCCAGGAGAAATTTGAGAATGATCCAACAGACCATAACTGTGAAATGGCACAACAAGCAAATGCTCAACTCATCCATGCTGTAAACATTGAGGTGGCATACTGGAAACAAAAAGCAAACATCAAGTGGCTTGAGAAGGGAGACACAAACTCCAAAACATTTCAAGCCTTTGTTAAGGGGAAGAGGCAGAAGCTGAAAATCAACCATATCCTGTCTTCTGAGGGCAAAGGTCTCTTTTCCCAAGAGGACATAAAAAAGGAAGCAATTGCCCATTTTCAGAAGGCCTTCTCATCCAGTCCCTGTGGTATTATGGAGCCTATCCTTTCTAATATCCCAGCTGTCATCACCCTTGAAGATAATGCTCTGTTAACTTCCCTTCCTTCCTTGGAGGAAGTAAGAGACACAATCTGGAGCCTTGATGGAGACAGTGCAAGTGGTCCTGATGGGTTCAATGGTAATTTCTTCAAACATTGTTGGCCTATTATTAAACAGGATGTCCTGCTGGCTTCTCAAGAGTTTTTCCTAGGTCTTCCTATTCCAAAAGGTTATGGAAGCACACATATATCTCTTATCCCCAAGAAAGAAAACCCTAAAAGGTTTGATGATTTCAGGCCCATCTCTCTCTCAACCTTCATGAGCAAAATTAACACCAAGCTGGTTGCAAACAGATTAAAGATCCTGCTTCCAAAAATCATCTCAGAAGAACAGGCCGCCTTCCAAAAGGGGAAATCCTGTGATGACCACATCCTTCTGACAAAGGAAGCTTTACATCACATTGACAAAAAGGTGTTTGGGGGCAATGCAATCATCAAAATTGACATGGCCAAAGCCTTTGATAGGATGGATTGGGGCTACCTTGAACACATCCTCAAGGGTTTTGGTTTCTCTGATTTGTCCATCACTATTCTCATGGCAAACCTTAAAAACACCTACATCAGTATTCTCATAAATGGGGAACCCACTGGTTTTTTCAAGCTGGAAAGGGGGGTAAAACAGGGCGACCCCCTATCCCCTCTTCTCTTTATTATTGGAGGGGAAGGGTTATGCAGACTTATTAACCATCACATGTCTTCTAATTTTATTAGCAGGTTTAATGTGGGCAGTGTACCTATGGTGAGTCACTTCATATACGCAGATGATCTCATCATTTTCACAAAGGGTGACATCAGAAATCTGTTAAGAATCAAAGCAATTCTCAACGAATACTTCTCAGCCTCTGGTCAAGATATGAACAATAGCAAAAGCAGATTCTACACCAACAAATCTACAAAGTCTGTCCAAATTCAGAAGATGGAGGAGGCACTAAACATTAAAGCTGGTCATTTACCCTTCACATACTTGGGATCTACTCTCTGCAAAGGTATCCTTAGAAGAGAACATTGCAAAAATCTGGTGAATCATTTCCAGAAACACCTTACCTCTTGGTACAGCAGAACCATCAACCAAATGGGAAGATTAATCTTGATTAAGCATACATGTACTTTCTTCCATACCTTTACACCACCTTGCTGTTAACCTTTTACCCATGTCTGTCATTGTTCACCTCCACTCTCTCATGAGCAATTTCTTCTGGGGAAGCAACAAGGGCACCCCCAAATATCACTAGAAAAGCTGGAACTTTATGTGCCAGCCCAAACACGCGGGGGGGGGGG